ATAATAGTAATAAAATAATAAGCAATACATATATAGAAACGCTAATAATAAATGCTAAAAATAAAATAAAAAGAAAATAATAATAAATGCTAATAAAATAAAATAAAGAAGAAACTAATAATAAATGGTTATTTAATAAAATCAATATGTCTTTCGATACAAGTAATACATATAATTATTAAATGTAACAATATCTTACAATATTAATAGAACAATAAAAAAATTATCACGTGCTATTTTTTTTTATAGTTAACTAATTATTATAATTTATATGGAAAATCTTTTGCCGCTAACATTAGCTTTAGGCATTTTCTGCAACCGTTTTCCCATGGTTTAATAATATAGGGATTGGAATTGTTTCAAAAAAGTATAATCGATTTGAAAATCGATCGTGTAGCAATTTTTTAATCGCGGATTATTCCAAAAATATTTATTTTCGAGAATATAATTACCGCTTCAAAAGCATATAATTGTAATATGCAGTATATCAAATTTACTAATGCTATTAAATCATCTATATTTTTTTTTTATCAGACTTCCCTTTTTTTCGGATGTTCGATAGTTTTTTTTTTAAAAAACTTCCGCAGGGATCACTTTTTTATAATTTTTTTCATTAGATTAGATTTACGCGATACGTAGTTTAAATTTTTTAAAATTTTTTTATTTTCGGGTTCGTTCGTTTCGGGTGAATATAAATAAGATTATTGGATGTTACACAGAATGTGTATATTTAATTTCAGTTATAGTATATAGGGATTAATATTTCGTTCGATTAACAATAACTTTTTTGGGTAAGTAAATTTTTATTTATTTTTATTTACTGTATTTATAATTATATTAAATTTATTAAAAATAAATAAATAAAAAACTAATATTTTGTTGACCCACCCTCAGCTGCTATACACGCTTGAATTCGACGAGGCATACTTTTGACTAAATTTTGAATATGTTCAAGTGGAATCGAACGCCAAGTCTTTTTTACTTTACGCTCAAAATCTTGTAAGCTTGTGGGTTGGTTAGGCAGGTTACGCACTTGCCTGTCAATTTCATTCAAAAGGTTTTCGATCGGGTTTAGATCGGGACTTTAGGCCAGGGTAACGCAGAAATGCCTGCGGTGTCGCGAACTTCGGCAGCAATCTTAACACGATGAGGTGGAGCATTATCTTCTTGAAAAATACCTTATTTACGAGGTACCAATTTATAAAGTGATGAAATAGCATATTTCTGTAATACTTTTACATATGTTTGTCCCGTTACAGATTCATAAAGTGGAAAAAGTGGCCCAATCCATACCATGAAAAGCATCCCCAAAAAATGCGACTGGGACTATGCTTTACTGTAGCAGTTAAACGGGAAGAGTCAAATTCTTCCTCGGGTGTTCGCCACACACGTAAACTACGATCTTGTGAAAATTTGCTAAATGTGGATTTATCAGACCATACAATCCTTTTCCACTTTGCAATTGTCCAATCATTCGTTCCAATGCCCAAGTCAATCTTTTTTGTTTGTTAATTTCTGAAATTAATGGTTTTGGACGAGCAAAACATAAGCGTAGGCCAATTTTTTTAAGAGTTCGACAAATAGTAATTGTTGAAACTTTCTTTTTTTTGATGAATGACACTTGAATTTTACGAGTGTTAAAGCGGCGATGCTTTGAACCTTGTGTAACAAGATTTTTGAGCGATGTCAATTCAAATTAAAATAGTTTTCGGACCACGTTTTTCGGTATTGCAGATCCCATTTCTTTAAAATGTTTTATTGCATCATGAACTGTTGTTTTACCGCATTCAACAATTTCAGCAATTTCTTCATGAAATGAAAATGTTAAACTCAATAATCTGAAATTCATTTTAATACATCAAGAAGTCCCTTTAAATAATTAACAAGTAGAATCGACTAATTTTATTTGAGTGAACAATATATAATCATAAAATTGAAAAAAATAAATCTAGAATCTAAAAATAAAAAAAAATTATGAAACAGAATTTGTTTTAAATATTTTTATTTTTATTACTAATTAATAAATGATTATTAAATTGTTTTTATACTACGAAAAATTAAAAAAAAAATTTAATACCGTATTTGCCGATTTTTGATTTTCAAAACTGGAACTGAAAATCAATTTGTCACAACAAATGGTTTTACTGTAAAATTCGGATTGAATTTTCGATTTTGATTTTGAAACGATTCCGATCCCTAGTTCAATTGCAACTAATGAATTATTAGGAAGTTTGAGCTATTAGATAAACCCAAATGTCTGAGCTCTTTTATATTGCTTAATAGAAAATATTTTCTATTATAAAATAGGAATTTCATACCTACCTTTTATACAAGCTACAAAATACGTTCGCTTTGAACGATACGATATTCGATAATTATTATTTCCAAAAAAAAAATCACCGTGGACTTTAGAAATCAAACTAAAGTTGTATATCGCATTTAATATAATTATTTCATAGTAATTTTTCAGCTTCAGCATTTATATATCGGACCCAAACCGATGATGCTATGGAGTTTAGTTTAGTCAGTTAACACATAATTAAAAAAAAAATTATAAAAAAGAGTGTAATATTTTGTATTAAAGTAAGCAATTTATTGAAAAATCATTTAATAATTTATTTTATTTAATTAATTAAAAGTTCCAATTATTGACAATGCAAATAATTCAAAAAAGACTTTCATTAATAAATAATAATTGATTCGAGAAAATAATAATTTATTTTCGTAGATAGTTCAACAATATGTGTGATATGCGTGACATGAAAATCCTTTACATTTCTAAGTTAATTACTAATCAAATAATATAATACAAGATCATAGATGAGAGAGAATTTAGTGAAGATGTCGGTCGATATGGATACTCAAATTCCAGCAATCATGAAAAAGCTGAACTACAGCCACTTCAATCAAATCGAATTAAAGAAGATTTAAGGTTCCAATGTATGTAAGTCTGTCTTGGATCCGTAATGTTCCGATTTTCGTAGATCCTGCTGCAACTTTATAATAAAATCACTAAAATAATCGCGACGATTGTCAACAAGAACCAATATTTATTTATGGTTATATAGTGATATAGTAATTTGGTATGGCGCAAGAGACATATTTAGTATGAGTTCATCATAATTTTGGAGATTTGATAGGTATCATACACGCCATACTAATATAATCGATTTTATAAAGATGGAATTTTTTCGATTTTGCCATGAAATTTTTACTATAGATCCGTTCGCCTGTTCCTTCTATTACGATCTTTTTCGGAATGTCTTTGAATTCAACTTCTACAATCTACGGTCAAAATGAGACTCTTATTTCATCAATTCGTAATATTATAAAGGTATGTCCTCTAAGGTTTCAAGATTGTATTTGTTTTATCATATACTTCAATCAATTACTTTTAATATATTTTCTAGGATTATCCTCCCGAGAGCGTATTTAAAGAATTCCTTCAAAATGGTAAGCGAAATTTCATTCTGTTTGTGAATTTTACGTCGAGTTCTTTAGAAATTCGAATGTAATACTTAATCCCCACAAAAAAAAAAAATAAAAAATAAAAAAAGCTGATGACGCTGGAGCTACTCGGTATCACTTAATTATTGATGGACGCTCGCATCCCAACGAAACTTTGCTTTGCAAAGAAATGAAGGCCTGGCAAGGCCCAGCCATTTTGATATTCAATGATGCAATTTTCAGGCCAAACGATTTTCAATCGCTTATGCAGATCCGAGTTGGAGGAAAACAAGGAGACGATACAAAGATTGGAAAACATGGGTTAGGTTTTAACTCGTGTTACCACTTTACCGATGTTCCAAGTTTTATCAGCGGCGATTCAATTGCTTTTTTGGATCCTTTAGAGAAAAACTTGCCAAAAAGACAGGGCGAAACTCAACGTGGGACTATTGGACCATTTCCAAAAAATGGTATCGGTGAGTATCTTGAAAAGGACCAATTGGTTCCTTATGAAGGCATCGAAGGCATCGATTTCCGCTCGACATTTAAAGGGACCCTCTTTCGAATACCACTTCGGTTACAACCAAGTGAAATATCTGACAGTATTTTTACACCGGAACAAATCCGCGAATTGTTCAATAATCTTAAATCAAACATCTCCTCCCAATTCTTATTTCTTCGAAACATCGAAAAAATTGAAATTTCGTATATAACTGAGCAAACTGTTCCACTACAAATCAATTCAATTTATAAAGCGGCCATAACGGGTTTTACTGAGAATCAAAGAGCCCAAAGAAAAAGCGTCATAAACAATGAAATTCAAGCTTTCCAAATGGATATCGAACAAATCGATGGTAACAACACACAAAAGGACACTTACATTATCGCAACTGGTGCCCAACCAAATCCTGAAAGTGATCAGCTAAAAAAATATGCGGATCGATATCGATTACGCGTTTTAGGTGGTATTGCTGCGTTGCATAAAAGTTCGAAATTAAACTACCGGAAAGAATTCAGAGGAATATTATACTCTTTTCTTTCGTTACCTGACACGACATATCTGCCGTTTCATCTTAATGGAACCTGGGCTCAAGGCTCAGATCGTGGAAGGTTATTATTAGAAAAAGGTTACGCACCGGATTTAGATCATCAGAAACTCAATTGGAATAGACATATCATGCTTGAATTCCTTCCTAAACTATATTGTAAGCTTATAAAAAAAGCCATCGAATTGAAAGAAAGTGATATTAATGAGGGCATCGAGAGCATTGATTTTACAGAAAAAATTCATCCTATCTCAAAGTTCTGGCCATTTCCACCTTCCGTCCAAAGTAATTCTAATTATGCAATTGAATTCGGTTTCAAAGTACTAGAACAAATGATACAAAAAGAAGACCTGTTGTCTAATGATGAAAACTATGAAAATCGCGTGAAAATACTCTTCGAGCACTTATCAAAGAATCAAATTGCAGAGCTCCATTACATGGTACGAAAAACTTGGGATTTAATTGGTACTTATCTTTTTTAATTTTGATGAAATTGTCATTTAATAAATTCTTGAAGTAGCTTATTCTTTTTATTAAATGTAGTAAATCCAAATTTCAAGTCATTTGCCCGTTTCTTTCCTATTTGGAGAGTTCTTACGAATCCATTAGAAACAAATTCTGTAAATGTGCTAGCATCAGCTTCAAGCGGATATATTTTAGAAAGTAACATCTCCATATATCAAATAAAAACTTCAAAAATCTATTTAGATGCTTATGAGAGCTATGATCGTAGAATTTTAAACGAACTCAATGTTCGTAAGCGAACCACTTATGAGTACACTTTTGAGGACGTCGAATTTCCTAAAGAATATAATAATACTTATCTAGAATACCTAAGGTGCATACTGAAAGATAAACAAGTTGTTAAAAATCTAGGAAATATACGCTGTTTTCCCAATTCAAGTAATATGAAATTAAAGAAAGCAACCGACCTATACGATTATAACAACCTCGTTTATCGGGCGGTGTTAGGTGGAGATTCTAATGTTTTTCTTCATCATGACTTTTCCAAACATATTATTAGTTTATCAAAAATTGGATTAAAAAGTCAAATTAATCAAGAGATGTTCAAAATGTGTGCTACTAAAGTCAAGGAATTGCAAAGAGACCCAGAACCACCATCTGACATACGTTATCGGGGCTTTATGCTTGTTGATCATTTATATAAAAATATTCACACTTTAAATTTGGAAAACATCGAAGGAATACCATTCATCCCAATTACAAAAAGTATGGGCAATCCTTATAACTCACATTACAAGCACCCTCAAGCTTTAGATTGCTTGAATGATGTAATTCTTCCAGCATATAGAGAAGTCGCGTGGAGTCAAATGCCATTGATCGCGGAAGATGTAATACCACCTGAAAAAGTACTCAAAAAATATCCATCATTTGGTAAACCGGATGTTTTTGCTGTAATCAGACATCTCCGTTTCTTATATTTAAAACTCCGGATTGATGAAGAATGGAAGAAAGGTTGGGCTGATGCATATAAGAACAACATTTATGAGGTTTATAAATGGCTGGATAAAGAATGTTTGTCAAATGATGATATCGACTTGTCGGAAATCATTATATCCGATCCATTATTTCTTAATTTCAATAGAAATCAAGATCCATTTAATATAGAAAACTGGGTTTCTGCAGACAATTTGGTCTTGAACAGCGAACCTGGTGAATTGAAGTATGTCAATCCAAGTCTTGCAATATATCATAACATGCTGAAAAATGCCGGTGCTGGGGAAATAACGCGGCCAGATGTTCAAATTAATGTCAGAGTACACGACCAAGCACATCATAACAAAAGTACTTTATTTGAATTTCTGTTGGATCAGACGTCTACATTGCATGACGTAACTTTTGTTGCGAATGGTGAAAATATAAAAACGAGTCGATATATGCTCTCTGCAAGCTCTGAATTTTTTCGCCAGAAATTCACTTCAGAAGAATCAAGTCCATATGACCCAGTCACTTTCAATATTGAAAACATTGAACCTGGTTCTATGGAAATTTTATTACGTTATTTGTATGGCCAGAAGATTGATGACGCAATTCAAAGTCGTGGAAGTTTAAACGATAACATGGGTTATCGAGTTGAACAAAATACTGATCATTCTCAAAATTTGGTAACTTATAAGAACTTGCTTAAGTTAGCAAGTGATTACAGGTTAGGTCATTTGAAAGAGCTTATGGAATTGAGGCTTTCACGTTTAATTCTCATGTCGAACGTAAACGAAATAAAAGAACTTGCTGAATCTTTAAATGCCAGTCAACTTAATGAATATTGTTATCATTTTATTCGCGATAATAGTGAAGGAATGTCTTGATTATACGAACTTTATTTAATCAAAATTTCTATCCATTCGATATTCAAAATCAATTTTTTTTAATCTTACTAGTTTACCATAGTCCATAGTTCATATCGTTATTATTGTATATTGTGTATATTGGCACTAAATTATTTTCACGTGTATGTAAATATTTAATGGTTTATGAAAGTCGAAATTTTAACACCATTTAGCTTGATATTATATTAAAAATATATACATTTATAAGACTTCTTTATAATAGCTTTTTTTTGATGTATGACCAAAATAAATAATAAACAATCTATCAAGTGAGAATGTGTGAATATTCATGAAAAGCTTATGTTTCATTCTGTCGAAAGAAGCGAAGGTTTGAATAATTAGGTTTCGTAAATAATGAATTTGAATAATGCGAAAAAATATTCATGAATGACATTCCAATAAATAGCCTTATGAAATTTTCTTTCTTATAATTCACGACATATTCAGTAAAATATTATTGGAAATATGATTATACGTGTATTGGATCATTCTATACAATAATTAAAGTATTTAGCTTTACCCCACGGAATAAGCGAAAGATGTCATATATTTATGGTGTATTAAAAACAAAATTAAGTATATTAATTTATCTTATTTAATTATAATTCTTTTAATTATAAATTTTAAAGACGAACTCATAATTTTCATGGGTTTTTTTATAGATGTTTGCCTTTACGTTCTTATTCGTTTAAACAATCCATATATAGTAGAGACGAAATCTTTTCATTATAAATCTAGCATATTTAGAACAAACAAAAATTTATTTGGTGAATAATTTACAGTTTCATTAGTACAATCTTCCCACCGCTAAAGAACAAATCGAGAAAAATATAGAGGTGGAACCGGTTAAAGTTTTTCTTTATCCGGTTTTGACCCGAATTTCCTTGCTTTCTCAGGTCAACAAACACTTATTTACTTTTTATTTAATTCGTCCGATGTATAATTTATGTAGAATTTAATTATTACGATTCGCTAGTGTAGTTAGTTATCGCATCAAAACCTTTATGAAGACACGAAGAAGATTGAAAGGGTAAAATAAACAACTTTATTAACTAGGAATTCTATAAGCCTTTTCTTTAGACTTATCATCACAAACTAGAATATTCTGATTAAATCTTTTGAGAGAAACTTTTACGACTTGCAATTTTCTCTGTTTTTCTCTAGATTTATACAAAATCGTTGTTTTAATTTACTAGCAGACATAATAAAATATAACAAATAAAAACTAATATAATAGAAATAATAAATAAAACAAATAAAATAAATAAGATATGTGAAACATATTTGATATTCCGCAGTAGCTGCGTCAATCGTACCGTTGACACCGGTTAAAATAGTTAATCTTAACTCGTGCCGAAAATTAATTTTCGGCCAGAATTAAGATTACAAATATTTCGCTAGCTCCGCCCAAATTTATAGTTCCTGCTTAAGTTATATTTAACCGATTATTAACGGTTAAGTATTGATCGGTTCCAAACTTTACAGACAGGTATGACTTTACTTTATTCTAAGAAATAAATGATTTAAAAGCAAGATGATATACGTGACAGCCGGAACGACGGAAATTCTAATCTTCCTGTCAAAAAGCTCGGGCATGTGGTTATATAAATTAATTTTCACCCATGTTTTTTACTATGTTATTTGGGAACTTGGTTTTTTAAACCTAATTTTCACTCTGTTTATTAAAACTATTCGCTACAAATCACGTTCCAGAGCTTTATGCTGGGGGAGTAACTTCAGTCACATGTTACAGACAATGGGGTTGAATATAAAAAAATAAAAAGTTTTTTATATTACAAGTTCATAATAAGTAAGATCGTTACCTACCATATTTGACTAGAACTCGATTTTCATTGGTTTAAATCATATTATTATATTACTACGTTACGTTATTTTGAAGTTTACATTTTTCACCGAGATTTAAAACTAGTGAATTAATTCGTTAAGTTTTGACAAATACTATTCGTAACACCTTAACATTAAGGTTATTTGTAGTATCCTTTTTTTTTATATATATAAATGAAATCATTCGTCTTTTTTTTTGAAGACATATTTTATTCTAAAACGGACCTAATTTTGATACAGTTAAAATAAATAATGCTATTTATATACTAATTTCAATCAAATTTTATTGCTATATTCTATCGCTAAAAAATTATTGCGAATTTAAATAATGTTGAAGTCGAGCGTATGGTATGTCAATCCTCTCAGGTCCCCTGCTTGAAGGTTCAATGAATGCAGGTAAGACTAGTATATTAATTATCACCAATAAGACCCACCTTAAGAAACTATTAATTTTTGAATTTTCATTTTTATTTTCACGACAGAAAATAGCTTCCCACGAGACGAATATTACACCGTGAATAATAAAGAAAAAGGAGTGTTCACCTGTCACATTATCAAATATTCCAGTCATAATATATTCATGTATTAGAGCACTATAACCTAATGCACCTAATACACCCATCATACTTGCGATTTTCCTAGGGACATATGGGATCAATAAATTCCTAACTGGTAAATAACCCAATTCTTTAAAACCTTCGTTCAATAATAATTGCCAACGGACAGACCAAAATTCGCGAGGACTAGTTGCTAACCATGGTTCATTAAACATATGTTTTGTATTGAAAAGGAATGTGATAATCCATTCTTTTATGGATACATATTCTGAAGTGGTTAAGATGTGAGTTTTGATTAAAACCGAGTAATGATTCTCTTCTACCGATGAGGAATGAAAGAATAAACGGTAGAAAATTGTAGTAAAGATAGTGAATATATCGTAATTCAATGAAATCGACAAGTATATAAGTACCAAAATATTTAAGTATGATAAAATTGAAGGCAATGTGATCGCAGGGGTTCCTTTTGTAAAAAATTCTAATAATCGAAGTTGGTATGGCATTTCCGGAACTTCTACCGTATATTTAATTGAAATGAACGCCGCGAATTCAAGAATAAGCCATTTTGTAAAGGTAATTATAGTGCGATTTATTAATTTTTTGTTGATTTGTGAGGTCGTGGGTGATGCAATCATCAAGTAATTTTCTTTTTCATTAGAACTTTCCTTTTTTGGAGGAATTATGTAAGAGTCAAAGCGCATATTGAATAATGTCCAGAGAAATGACTTAAATTCTTTCTTTTGTTTATACTCTTCTTGATTCAAGTATGCCCGATTAGATTTTAAGAACATAAACATTTTTGTCCCGAAAGTTGCACCATTCATTACAAAGCTACCTTGAATTGAAGGTGGAAATTTGCTGCGAAAACTTATTGGAATTGAAATATATATAAGAGCGATAGATAATAAGGTATAAAATCGAATTCTTGTGTGAATTGGTTCAAATGTAAGTGATATAAATAATAATAATGTAGTAAAAAATATCGAAGTATATGTTGAAGTAGGTATATTTGGAGGAAATTCTTTTCATGTTGATAATGGAGAATTAAATATGAAATTTAATGTGTGAGCGGTTGTTATTGATAACGGTATGTAAATCAGATTTGATTTGGTGAAAATGCCAGGTTGTGACATGTTGAAATTCTTAAAAGATTTTTAAATAATTGAGTTTCTAAAAAATCAAGATGTTTAAACTATAAATTAGTGGATATGTTTTTTTTTCAAAAGGTACAATGGATTGATTGAAAATCATTTTTGAATTCCATCGCTCTTTATATATACATTTTTTTTTAAATTGATTATGCACATTTATTTCGTTTATTTTTAGTATTTGTAGATCATACAAATGAAAATCATTTTCTCAATGAAGAGGTTTACGCCAAGCATTTACATAATGGTCTTCGTGAATGTTTACTTAAGCAGTTAAGAAGTAATGTTACTAACTAAATTTAGATTAAGTATTCCTTTCATGTAAATCTAAATATAACTTAAGGAAACTTCAATTTCGGTAATGGAATAACTTAAAACATGAAGGAAAATTCTGGATAGAAACTTGTGTACTGTCAACATTGAGTAACGTACATTGAATAATGAACTATGAAGCAATGGCTCGATATTCTCTATTTGTGTTAATACTTTTCTTTAGGAATACATTAATTACAAAATACAGCATAATGCACAATTAGAATCGTGAACTAATTTCGGTAAAGCATTCTAGTGATACTTTATTTTATTGTATTGATTGGTAATAATAAATTTTCCATGAACTTTTTAAGTAAACTATTTGTATCAGCTTTAAATTTGATCGTATAATTTATAGGACTTCTTTATCATCCGAAGAAAAAATATTTTATTCGCCGATCCATTAGACCGCTCATTTTCTTTTTAAGAATTTATATATATTTGACAGGTGAATTAATTGACAATCGTGATTATTAAGTTAATACTTTCCGATTTGTAAAACCTTTTCTTTGTTTTTTTAATAATTGAGGGTAAAACCTTAATCCTTTTTGGCAAAGTAAAAATTCATTTTGATCATCTTAACGATTTTGTATTACAACAATTCGAAATTTTTACAAATCGAAAAAATATATTATCGAACGACTAGTAAAAAAAGGGATTGGAAACCTTTAAAATATGAAATGAAATGCTCTTGGCGTTACCTTAGCTACTTTGCACCTTCGATCGTGTATTATATGGTTCTGTTTAGGATCCTCCGTCTTGCTGTACGTTTCTTAGGACGTTTCAAGATACAATAAGAAAATTCAACATTTAATTTTATAATATTTTAATCTTTTGTTTATTTGAATAAATTGTAATGAAGTACGCATTGTTGAAGAAGGATATTTTAGTTTCAATACGTTTTTTAAATTTTGGTGTATTTTAATGTTATTGAAACCGTCGAAATTTTCCAAAAAAAAAAAAAAAATTGGGCAATCGGTTTTCAATTAAGAGTAAAATTGGTTCTTTAATTATACATGAAATAATGTAAACATTTCTAGTTAATTATATTTAATTGTAAAAAATTTTATTTAAATTATTTATTTAATTTGCTTTGTTAAATGATGTGAAATGATGATGTATGGTAATTAAGAAGATTTTAACGTGCAATAATTATTTATTCTATACTTCTATTTAAAGTTCGAAATAACTTTTAATTTAATTGATAATATTTAGCTAAATATAAAGGAATTTGAAATAAATCAGGTCTTCTTCTTAGAGGTTCAATGAATGCTGGCAAAACAGATAAATTAATGACCAGCAATAAGAGACACTTTAAGAACCTTTTGACTTTCAAATTCTCATTTTTATTTTCACGACCAAAAATAGCCTCCCACAAAACGAATATTACACCGTGCATCATAAAGAAAAAGAGGTGTTCACCTGTCCAAATATCAAAATTTCCAATGATAAGGTGCTCATGCAATAAAGCACTAACACCGAATGCACCAAACACGCCCATAGTATTTGCGATTTTTTTAGGGACAATTGGAGCGAATGTATTCTTAATAGGTAAATAACCAAGTTCTTTGAAACTTTCATTAATCATTACTTGCCAACGAGCAGACCAAAAGTCACGAGGGCTTGATGCCATCCATGGTTCACTAAACAAATGTTTTGTATTGAAAATGGTTGTGATCATCCATTCTTTTAGGGAGACAAATTCGGAAGGAGTGAGAAGTCCGCATTTAATGAGAATAGGTTTATAATTGTTTGCTTTCGATGAGGAATGAAGGAATAAACGGTAAAAGATTGTGCTTATAATAATTAATATATCGTAACTATATACTGACATCATTAAGTATAAACATAAGAATAAATGTAAGTTTTGTAACATTAAAGGCATTGTAATCGCAGGGATTCCTTTTGTAAAAAATTCAATTAAACGAAGTTGGTATGGTTTCTCTGGAATACTACTTGTATATGTAATTGCATTGAACATTACAAGTTCAAGAAGAAGTAATTTTGCAAAGCTAATTATGATGCGATTAATTATTTTCTTGTAGATTTGTGAAGTTGTGGGTGATGTAATAATCAAGGAATTTTCTTTTTCATTAGATCCATCCTTTTTTGGAGGAATAATATAAGAGTTAAAACGTGAATTAAATAATGTCCAGAGGAACGACTTAAATTCTTTCTTTTTGTTATGATCTTCTTGATTCAAGTATACCCGATTAAATTTTAAAAATAATAACATTTTTAGTCCATACATTGATCCATAAGATACAAAAAAGTTATGAAGCAAAGTTGGATATTTTCCGCGAAAGCTTATTGGAATAGAAACAAATATAAGAGCTAGCGATAATAAAGTATAAAATCGTATCCTTGTTTGAATTGGTTCAAATGAAAGAGATAAAAACAATAAAAATGGAGTAAAAAATATCGAAGAATATACAGAGGTAGGTACATTTGGAGGAAATTCTTTCCATACAGATAATGGTGAATTAAAAATGAATTGTGATATGTGAGCGATCGTTACTGATAGTGGTATGTAAACCAAATTTGATTTGGTGAAAATGCCAGGTTGTGACATCTTGAAGACTTTTGAAGATAAGAATTTAAATTTGACTTTGAGAAATAGAATTGTTTTATGTAAATTTGAGGGTGTTTTTATAAGTTTGAACGATTTAAATGAATTGATGGAGAATCCATTGAATTCCACCGCTCTTTATATACATTTTTTTTCGTTGCCAAACATGAGAAATTTGGAATATTATTATTTCAATGATATTTCATGCGCCAAACTTTTAAAAATTTCGAGAAAATTACTAAAAACGATAAATACATATTTATCATCTAATTTTAGATTAAGCCAAGTTACTTAAAAATAGCTAGCCATATAAAGTAACACAACGCATTGAAAATCTTGGGGGAAAATTCTAATATTCATTTTTATTGTGATAATCGGTTATATTTTTGGATATACTATTAATAGTTCTTCTTTCAATTTATAATGAAAAAATCAAACTTATTTCTTTCGTGTAAAGTGAACTATTTTAATTGATTTGATATCCTTACTCTTTCTGAATAACTTCCTTTGTTCTTCATGCCATTATTGTGAATGTTTATGCTCGCAGATTTTTTAGAATGGTGAACTTATCAATTGTTTCATTGTCGTATAAGGATAAATCATTCATGAATTTTTATTATTCGTTTGAATTTTTTTTTTTTGAACTTACAAATATTTTTTTTTTAATTGCTAAAAATTAAAAAATTAGATGACTCATATTTCCGAAGGCACCATAAAAATATATTTTTTCTTCATAGAATGTGATAAAAATATTTACTCTATTGTTTTTGGAAAAAAGAATCTTTTTTTTATTTTTTGGTGGAGCGTAAAGTTACACAAAGGCAAATTTAGGAAAAAATTGAACGTAATGATATTAATGATATGGGAGCTGATCTATTAAAAGTGGGTTACGAGACTAGTAAATTGATTTTGAGTAATTGACTTGCATAATACAAAAAGTTTTATTTTTCAATATGTATTATCGATAATAATATAATTTATTAAAATATGCATATACAAAAAGTTTTTTTTAATATGTATTATCGTTAATTTGATATTTATTATATTTGTATTATATGTACTGCAATGTCTAAATATTCTAAATAATTTACAGATTTGTATAAATCGCAAAGTCTAATTTTCAAAGTTCTATTGTAAATTTTTTTACCAATTTGTATTATACTGTTATTAATACTTGAATTTTTATTAATACAATACCGATTCATATTATAATTGTATTACAAAGCAATAATTCATTTCAAAATATACTTTTGAAAATATATAAATATACCACCTTTCCTACCATTCCTACCCATTCAATTTCTAAATTTTTTTTTTTTCCTTACCGATTTATTACTATCTTAATATTAAATTTTATTTTTATTTTCAATATGGGTCAAAAAAAAATTAGAAAACGTCCTTTTTCCGAAGTAGAATCTTCTGATGATAAAAAACAAAGAAATAAAAAACATAAAGGTCGAAAGAGCAGTGAAAGAGAGGAAAGAGACCAACCTAAAGAAAAAAGACAATCAAAAATGGTTTTGATTGATATCGTTCAAGAAAAAGATGACAATGATAAAGTCAATAATCAGCATATGCATTATTTGTTTATGTATTATTAATCAAATATTCTTAGTTAGAAAATTAACCGATTGTTTTATTTTTTAATACTACAGTAACCGCTTTACAGGACCAAATAAATGAAATTGCCAAATTGGTAAAAATGGTCATAAAGGGTAAAAGAAAGGAAACTGAAGAAGTAAAAAAACCAAAAAAAGCCGATATATCAGAAAGTTCAGATACGAAGAGGCTGGTTCCTCAAAAGCTACAACAGCTACACTATATCATCATCATCTGACAGTTCTAACAGTTCTGACAATTCAGATACCTCTGATAAAGAAAAAAGTCAAAAAAGAACACCTAAAAATAAGAAGGCAAATAAGCAAACAATCAGTTAATAGACGATTACTATTTTTCTTACATTTCTTTATATTTTTAATCAATACACTAGTTGAAATCATTTCATTCAGTACTAATACCATTCGGTTAACTTTCAGCCGATTCAGTCATATGATTTGGCAAAATTTGGCTTAAGTTACAAAAATCGATAATGATTAGTTACACCAAATATAATTTAGCATTATTTTGGCATTAAGACCTTTCGATTATAATAATTAGCAAAATTTCAGTTAAACTCAAGATTTAGCAACTAATCGACTATATCTCATTAGTCGAAATCTGTTGAGTTGATTTTTGTGAAAATTATAAAAACATTCTGAGAGTAATCGTTTCAAAGAGACAATAAAAATTGTCCCTAAAGGAATGATACATTCTTTCTAAAAGAGACAATAGAAATTGTCTCAAAAAGAACGAACAATCGTCCCAAAGAGACGATAGAAATTGTCTCAAAAGAAATGATACATTCGTCCCTAAAGGAACGATACATTCATTCCAAAAGAGACGATAGAAATCATTTCAAAAGGAATGAACAATCATTTCCAAAGAGACGATAGAAATCATCCTTAAAGGAACGATATGGGTGGTTTGCTATTAAAATTGAGTTACGAATCATATGAATTACTATGTCTCGTACCTCAATTTTAATAGCAAACAGCCCATATATTCGTCTCCAAAAGAGATGATAGAAATTGTTCCTAAAGGAACGATACATCATCGTTCCAAAAGAACAATTTTTTTTATCATTCTTTTGAAACGATACTTCATCATTTCGAAAGAATAATTTTTTTATCGTTCTTTCAGAATGATACTTTATAGTTCCGAAAAAACAATTGTTTTTTATCAATCTATAGGAACGATACTTCATCATTATGAAAGAATGATGTTTTTTTATCATTCTTTTGAAAGAACAATGTTTTTTTATCGTTCTTTTGAAATAATATTTCATCGTTCTGAAAGAACAATGTTTTTTTATTGTTCTTTCAGAATGATACTTCATACTTCATCGTTTTGAAAGAACAATGTTTTTTTATCGTTCTTTTGGAACAATACTTTATCATTCCGAAAGAATGATATTTTTTTTATTGTTCTTTCAGAATAATATTTCATTGTTCTGAAAGAACAATGTTTTTTTATCGTTCTTTCAGAACAATACTTCATCATTCTTAAAGAACAATGTTTGTTATTGTTCTTTTGGAACAATACAATAATCGTTCCTTTAGAAGGATTTTTTCATCATTTTTTTGGAACGATACTTTATCATTCTAAAAGAACAATATTTTTTTTATCGTTGTTTTAGAATAATACTTCATCGTTCTGAAAGAACAATGTTTGTTATCGTTCTTAGGGAACAATCGAATTATTGTTTCTTTAGAACGATTTTTTATATCGTTTTTAAGAAACGATATAATAATCGTTCTTTTAGAATGATTTTTTTCATCATTCTATTGGAACGATACTTCATCATTTCTTTTGAACAATTTTTATTATTATTCTTAAGAAATAATCAAAACTATCATTTTTTTAGAATGATTTTCTATATCATTCTTAAGAAACGATTGAATTATTGTTCCTTTTGACTGATTTTGTCATCATTCAGTTAATTTTGTAATCAGAGATGCAAAATCATCTATTTGTAGCATTTATAATAAATAGTTTAAATTTCAGGTTAATTGAAATTTTAGTTTAGTTTATAATATAAAACTGATTAACTTTCGGAATATTCTAAAAAATTTATTTATTTATTTATTTTTTTTCGAAAATTTAACCTTTTCCTTTCTTTTTTCTTGTTTTTTTAGGAAATTCTTATTTTATAATTAAGGTAAGCGAATCGGAAGTGACTTTTGTGATATTTTCCTTTTTTTATTCTTATTTTTAGGAAATTCTTATTTTAGGAATTAAGGTAAGCAAATTAGAAATAACTTTTAAATGGTTTTTAACTCTTTTTTTAGAAAATTTCTCTTTTCGAAACTAAGGTAAGCCTTTTGGAAGGTATTTTTGAATGGTTTTTAACCTTTTTTTCTTTATTTTTTCTTTACTTTCTTTAGGAATACATTAAGGTAATGTTACAGGATGATTAACAAGAACATATGGCTTAGTAAATGATCAACATGTTTCACAAAACTTGATCTACTAAAAGATTTACAAAAACGATCTACAGAATTGATCTACTAGATGATTTGCAAATGATTTACACATGTAATGTTAGAAATGTTAAACAAATGTTATATAACTTATATATTTGATATATCTGACATATCTGACATATTTAACATAACTGACATTTCTGACATGTCTGACATATATGATATATCTGACATATTCAACAAATAGGACATATTAGACAAGTCAAACATAATAGATATATTTGATTTATTAGACATGTATAATATATTAGTTTTATCTTTCTATGTAAATTATTTTATATAAATAGGATGGTTTGTAAATGTTGGAATAGTAGGGAGTTAGGTTTCCTCTAGCCTGATGCTAGTATTCTTCTTATATATTTTATTCTTTTTCTTTATTTCTAGAGAATTTTACTCAGAGTTGTGTAATAACTTTTTAATCTTTATTTATTTACTTTATAATCAATAAACTATTTTATTATTTACATCTTGGTGATCTATAACTGATAGCATGATATTTAAACATTTGAGTGAAATCTACAAGTCTGTATGATGTATAAGTTTTAGCGATAAGCTACAATATGAGTATAAACTTACAAGACAATCAGGTCTTCGTATTTAATCTATGTAAAGACAATCAGGTCTTTTGTGTTTAATCTGTGTAAAGACAATCAGGTCTTTTAGTTTTAATCTGTGTAAAGACAATCAGATCTTTTGTATTTAATCTGAGTAAAGACAATCGGGTCTTTGTGATAGCTTAATATCTTAATGAAATATCAAATCAATACATCTGAGTGATACAAGTTATAAGTCAAGGACTTTAGAAAAGATCAGTAATTACTACGTATATTAAAAAGAAATAATACTTGAATACCCTGTCTAACAGTTGTAGTTCGTAAGAATTACACGTTAACAGTAAGCCTTTCAGAAGTGGTATTTTGG